AAAGATCTCTATATATTATTGGTAAATAATACAAATCGTTTTATTTATGCTATATAAAAGAAAGATTTTTCTCTCCGTGTACTTAATTTTTTAAAGTTTAAATATTTGAAATAGAATGCGATACCGTATTGGTGAAAATCTACTGCAAGTTTTCCAATTTTCGTTCGAGCATGAATTTTTAAAAATAGGTCAAGAAGAATCTTTGATAAATATTCCAAAACTTCTTTAAATATGTTTGGGTCTATATACGAATTGTAGTGTGTATAAAAAAACATATTTAAATCAAGCTATTTAGACCACTCTCTGAATGACTATGTCTTATAATAAATTCCATACATCAATAGAATCTATTGAAAAAAAAATGTTTATAAATAAATATAATTACGCAAACGTACAATTTTTTTTTACAAAAAACTGTAACAAAAAAAAAATATATAAAACCCTTTAAAAAGGTTGAACAAGAATTAAATTGTACCTATATATAAGTATATTTATAAACATACAACATGTATATATGCATCATGTGCCATACATCCTTTCCACTTATCACTGAAGCATGAATTTTTTTAAAAATCTAGGTCAAAACAGATTTTCCAAAAAAAAATTCAAAAATACGAGTCTGGGAGTTAATATTATTATTATTATTATTGTAAACTATAATAAATATTATAATATCTATAATAATAATAAAAACACAACATAGTTGAATTTAAACAAGAATTTTTTTACTTATATAATGTTTATTCTTGATTTTTTTTTATAACATAGATGAATAAGTAGAACTGCTTTAAGTTTTGTCAGACGTCTGCCTCTTTTTTTCTAGTTGACTTATTTTACAAGCCTTAGGGGAATTATATTTGTCGACACTTCTCTCTAACATATCACATTGTATGTATAGAAATAAAAATTACAGATTGTAATTCTTCGAAAAATATTAGAATAATAATAATATTAATTCTATTAAAAATTAATAAGTTAAAAGTAATATTGTAATATTTAGCGCTAAGAAAATAAATATATTAATGATTACGATTTTAAGAATATTTTTCTTTATGGAGGAGAAAAAAATTACAATGAAAATCTGTTAAACAGGATACTCTATAATGAATATAAAAGGGTATAAAATAATTCAACCCAGTTTTGCATTTTAATCAATATTTTCTTAATAAGATTAACAATTACCATCAAAAATTAAATTACAATTTAAAGCAATCATTTTCCTCAAATAATGGCATTGTATGTTGACAAAATAATACAAATCAAATTAAATATTTATATTATACATTAATTAAATAATATTGAATATAATAGAAATTAAAATAAACATAAAATTTTGAAAAAAGAAACTGAGTGCCAGTATTGCTGTTTCATTGAATAAATATAAATATTCATATTATAATCAACTAAAAACATTTTGACCCTTTTAATATTTTTAAACCTTTTTTAATACGAAAAGATAACTTTTCGTATTCAATTTTTATTAACACAATTTTTTTTTACTTAAAAAAGTATTTTATGTACAAAAAAAAAAATTTGTATACTAACATGATTTTTAATAAATTAATAATAATACCTATAATACTTCATAAAAAAATAATAAATTAATAATAAACATAATTTATTTTATCTGAATACTTTAATGAAGACATTTAAAAATTAAATAAATAATTATATAATTAATCGAAATAAAAAAAATAATTCACAAATTTAAAAAAAAAAAATGAAAAAAAAAGATAAAAAAAAAAAAAAAAAATATGAAAATGAAATATTTTTGATTAAAAATTTTATCATAAATTATTAATTGAAATAAAAATTAAAAACTTGGTCTTAATATTTCAAAACTATATAATTAACTGCATTTTTTGTTGGACGTGAAAATTATTATCTAATAAATTAAAAATTAGAAAAAGAAATTTAAAAAGCTTCGTTCAAAAATGAATCATTTTCACGTTCGTAATTTTAGAGACAATAAAAAATTACTAATTTATAGAAAAAATATTTGTAATGAAACAAAATTTTTAATTTTATCTGCAATATATTTTAATTAGTTCACATTTAAAAATTAACATCTTGATTCATTTTCTATTGGATATCTACACACATAGTAGTAAGTTATAAAGACAATTAAAGCTATCATCGTCAACACAAATTTACAACATAAATGAACATTTTCACGATTGTTATTTTTGCACTGACACAACATTATTTTTTTCAAATTATTATACTATATGTAATTCTTTAATTAATAACAAAGAAATATTTCCTCTATGAAGAAACAATAATGATTGTCAAACTGAAATTTTTTTTCCACGTTAATTTGAATTCGTTAACGGTTTGCTAATTATTTAATAATTATAATATAATTATAATATAATATATAATTAAAATTATTAATTAATTTTATTTTAATTAATTATGGTATTATCAGTAAAAATCACGAAGTGTAAAATCAGTCACGGGTATATCTAATGGACCTTCAGTACGTTCTGGTTGTGTAGGAAATTTGTAAAAACAGAAATAATATATAAGCGATGGTATCACACAAATTAGTAAAAAAAGTAAAATCAATATATGAAAATAATAACAGATAACTCCCCAAATGACAAGATAAACTCGAATCAAAAGACCACAAAGCCAAGTCATGTGACAAATATTCTTTTCAATTCTCTTCAACACTGATCATTATATTGGTAATCTAAAAATAATATTTTGCATCAAAATCAAATATACAAATTAAAAAAAACTAATAACAGTGTTATTTAATCAAATTAATTGTATACAATAGTATTTTTTAGTAATAATAAAATTTCATTTTATAAGCAAAAAGATTTTTGCATTAAAAAAATATTCGACAAAAACAATAACAAAACGATTAATAATCGTGCAATAAAATTTTGTTGTATTTTTTATCTAAAATAAATTTTCAATTGGCCAAGAAAAATTGAGTTAATATCCGAATTTATTGTTCTTTTATTTCAATGAAACAAATCAATTTTTCTTTTATTTCACATTTTATAGTAAACAAATATTGAATAGATCAGGGAGAATTAATTAATTAATTAATTGAAATAAAAATAATTATTCTAAAAGCTTTATTCCTTTATTAAAAAAAAAACCATTTTGTATAAATTTGGTTATAAATTTTTCTTGATCTAATTATATTATTGATCTTTTTAAATATGTAATGGAGTGAACCGGAAAGTCGTTCAAAGCCGAAAGGCATGAACTATGTTAAATAAATAATAAAATAAATATTATTGATCTTTTTTAGGAATTTTGATTGTATTTTTTATTTTACTAATTATTTTATTAATTTATTTTTTTAATTTATTATATTATTAATTTTATTTATTTATTAAAAATTGTATTAAAAATTTATTAAAAATTCAATTATATAAATATTATTAAATAAATAAAAATAATAATAAATATTAACACAAAAGATTGATAAAATCTTGATCTAATTCAATATTTATATTTATTAGCAAAAATAAAATCAGATTGAAAAAAATAAAAAATTTTCGTTGCTTCATGAAATGAAAAAAAATTTTTCATTTAAAAAATATTTGACAATAACAAAAATAACGATTAACATTCGTATAGTAACATTTTTTTGTATTTTATTTATTTTTTATTCTAAACAAATTTTCAATTGTTCAAGAAAAATTGAGTTTATATCAAAATTTAAATAAAATTCGACAGAATTGTTATTTAATTTCAATGAAGCAAATAAAATTTATTTTTATTAATTTTATGTTTGATAGTAGACATAAATATTGATTATATGAGGAAGAATTAATTAATTGAATATAGAAAATTATTAATTGATTATTAGAGTAATTATTTTAAATAAAAATAATTATTACAAACGTTTTATTCTTTCATTGAAATTAAATTAGTTTTGTTTAAATTTGGATATAAAATAAATTTTTCTTGTTCTATTCAATATTTGTTTACTAAAAAAATTAAATTAAATTGTAAAAAAGAAAAAAATTCTCGTTGCTTCATTGAAATAAAAAAACAATTGTAGAACTAATTATTATAAAAGTTCTATTACTACAGTGAAAATAAAAAAATTATTTTATTCAAATTTGAATACAAAATAAATTTTTCTTAATTTCCATAATATTTATTAACTAAAAAAACAAAAAAATAATGTAATAGATAAAAATAAATTTTTGTTTCTTTGTTGAAATAATGAAAACAATTACTTCAATGAATTAGCTTAATTTATTCTATTTATTTCAACTAAAATTTGTACGAATTTATAAATTGCATTCTTTTTATTTTATTTGTTATATTTTATTTTAAAAATTTTATTTAAACTTAAAAACTTTACTAATTACATCAATGAATTAACTCAATTTATTCTTCTATTTATTTAAACTAAAATTTGTACTAATTTATAAATTTAATTCTTTTTGTTTAATTATTCAAGAGGCCTTTAATTCTTTTTATTTATTCTATTTATTATATTTTATTTTTTTTTTTAATTTTATTTAAATCCAAAAAGTTTACTATTTAACAATTTTTTTGCACAAAAATTAACTAAACGTTTTATTGAAACAAAATATTTTTCCAAAAATTTATTTACTTTTAAAAATTTATTATTCATTTTATAAAAACTTTATTATTTATTTCGGAAAAATTCAATTACTCTTTTAATAAAAATTTGATTATTTATTTTATAAAAAACACTATTGAAAATTTACTAAATAATTTTCTTTCCGATTACCTTCTTCATTCATTTAGAGATTATCATAATCAATGTCCTTTAATTTAGAAAAAGTCTGAATGACACTTGACTTGATTGAAAAGACAATAGCCAATGGTACAATTATTATGACACAAAATAATATACCAATTAATAATATCGCGCAACAAGTCCACATTGCTTTGCCTTTTTTAAATTTTCATTACAAGATTTACAATCATTTACAATATAAAATGACATTTATAACCTCGAGTTAGTATTCCATTTGTGAAAAAACAAAAGGGAGTTGTTTGAATGCTGCTGACAAACTAGATATTTTATATATATAGTTTATAATACACATTAATAATCATAAATATATAAAGTTACAATTCAATAAATCAATTAAGTAAAAGCTACAACATTTAGTTGAAATCAATCGTGTATAAAGTATTATGTATAAACAATTTGTATGAATAAATTTCCGAAAAAAATGTCATTAAAAATTATTCTAAGTTATCTTTTTCCGAATAACAATTAAATTTTGTTTATTCTTCTATTGACTTTTTTCGATTTGCTTAATTTCTTTTAAAATAGACGATTTCTTTAAAACTTTATCTTTCATTTCTTTATCGGGATTTTTAATTTCGCCACTTTTTATTTTCAGTTCTAATGTTTCGATTTCACGAATTTTTTTCTTTAAAGTTTTCAACCTTTTTATCGGATCTACAATTTGTTCATCTTTCTCCGTATTTTCAGACTTATTAATTTTTCCTGATTGCACTGTATTATTGGTCAATGGTTTACAAACAATTGGCTCAATTATTGTTGCTTTCTCTAAATCTTCCGTTAATTTCTCAACATTTGCGGATTTATTTTTATTTTTCTTCTTCTTCTTTTTCTTTGCAGCATCATTTTGAACGATTGCTGATGTTGCGCCAGCTGCTTTAGCTGCTTGGGCTTCTACTTTTGCTTTGTGAGCCGCTATAAATTCAGGCGAGAAACCCACTGGATAGGCGGGTTTATTTTTTACAAATTCTTTACCTTTACTTTCGTATCTGTAAAGAAAAAGAATAAAAAAATATTAATAATTAAATTAAAAATGCAGAAATAAAAATAAATATGTAATAATAAAGAAGCAAAATGCAGAAAATTAAAGCTTCGAAAAATTCTCGCCGGATTTCCAAATTGATAATTTTTTTCCCTTAGAATAAATTCATTACGTACAAAGGGACTTCCTCCTGGGGAATATAACCATCTTTGACTCTACGTGGTTTTCTCCACGTACCATCAGGACGTTGACTAGCAGGAATAAATGTTCCGCCTGTAAAAAAAAACTAATATTATCTCCCGTACTATTAAAAACCCAATTGACATGAATTCCACAATTATACCTTTAAAAACTAATTTTTTAAAAATTTTTTGCAAATAAAAAAAATTATTTACTAAATATAAATTTCTCCTCCAATACTATTTTATAAATAATAAAATAAACAAAAATCTGCAATTCAAGAACATTTACAAATTCCAATTTTTTTTTATGGAAAAGAAGTAGAAATCTATTCGAGGTGATAAAAATAGAATAAATGTATGGAGAGGATATAAACAGAATATTTTGAATAAAAATTTATTACAAACGAGTATTAAGCAGAATAGAAAAATGCAATAACATAGAAAGAATCTAAAACGAGGTTAATCAAATTATTTCAATTAGATTATTGTGGAAGACATGCATTTATCTAAGGCATGCGATAAGTTGTTTACCTTTTTAAGGTTATAAATAGCAAACAGGGTAGCTTGCTTATTTTGACAAAAAAAATAAAACAATTCAACATACCTTGATCGTCCTTTATGTAACCTGAAGCCATTATAATACACTGACACTAAATGCAAGTATTATTTAACAGATATTTTCATAAATATTGTATATTATCGGTTTGTCATTATTTTAATTGTTACTCGAATTAAAGACAACTCTTGTCTCTTTAATATGGAAAAGTCGATAAGTTAGAGGCTGAAGAGGAAACTGGCTATTGCGAAAATTACCGCAAGATGTCTCTTGACCCCCATGGTAAATTACCGACTGCTTAACGTAACGTTACGTTTTTACGTTCGAAAATTCTATCTTTTTCTTTCACACACTGAGAGAAGTCCGGGAACTAATACGTCCCGTGCGAGCCTTGAGTTGTACTTTTGAATGTTTTTATGTGAACCCTCGAATCGGGATGTCTCAAGCCCCGATGCGAAACGTGGAACGTCCTGAAGCGAGATTACACAGAACTTTCAGTGTTTGCCACCAGTTGTTTTCTCACATGCGAGAACAATATTTGACTGGATCGGGGAGTCTCAGCACCCGATTCGGAACAACTCAAACACGACAAGCAGAGTAGCTCATAGCGACGTCTAGCGGGAACTATTACGTCTCGGTCTTCTCTCAGTGCACGAATGACATGAATCTATCTCTTATTTTACAAGATTTTCTTTTATTTAAAGAAAAACAAATGCAAAAGAATTTATTTTTATTTTGTTTATATTTTAATTATCTCCGTATTTTGTAAACAAAAATATTCCCAAAGAAATATAGGGAGCAAACATTTTAGGTTATGTTTATAGTTTTTGGAGTAAAAATAAAGAAAAAATATCAATTACTATTACAAATTATCGTTGTTCAATTCTTCGTTACATCTAAAATATTCAATAAAAACTATTTTTAAATTTACATAATCAAGAGGAAATTTTTAATTTAGATAAATCTGACACAAACATAACCTAAAATTTGTTTGCTTCTTATTACGTCCATTTCTTGGAAGCGCGTCACATAATAAAAATACTTTCCCACTTTTTTGATAGAATATAAAAATTTATAGAAAGAAAATTATCTTTAATGTGAATTTAAAATAATAAATCTGAATAAAAAAAATAATACAGTAAAAACGACGTGAAAATATTTTCTTACCACCAATCCGTTATTCGTCATCACATACACATTTTGTTGCAATAAATCACACTATATGTCGAAATTATTTTGTTAAATTAAACCGCGTCGGCACAATAAAACATTCCATCGAAAATGGAAAATGTGTCAAAATATTTAATATTGACAGAAATAATCATTTTACTACATAAAATATGTTCACTTACAATGATCTGCATTCAACTACTGCACAAAATATCCCCTCCTTCTCGAAGAAACTCTGGTATATTTAATTTCGTCCCTGCAAAAAAAGAAAATATTTTTCCATTAAAAACCGAGTTGTCTTAACGAAATTATTCGTTCGACAATAGAAAATGTTAGACAAAACCACTCTATACTAGAAATCAACAAATAAAAATATTGACACGAAATTATACCCAAAACGCAATTCCGTTTTTGATTGTTGGGAATGAAATTGATACAAAATTCACACGATTAATCAGAATAATAATAATAATGCGAAATTTAGATCACATTGAGAGAATTATGGAAAGAAAATAACACGAAAGAAAATTATCAAACGGCAATAGTAATGAATATCCTACGAGACATTTTATTACACAAATTTAATTGTAATTAATGAATATACTTACGATTTAGTAGGAACGATCGATTTTTGCAAAAAAATCCACACGAATTTGTATTTTGACGATGTAAATAAGCGAAAATGTTGTCACACAAACTCTTCTGACAATGAAGACAAAATGGCGACTGCACTGCGTCGTCTTGTTAAGTGACGAACCCTATTGGCTAAGCGCAAGGACCAATGGGAGAGCGGGAAAAAGGCGCGCTAAATCAAACAATCTCGAAGTACGTTATCGATGTATCGAAGTAAACTAATCGATCTTTAATTTATTTAAAAAATTTTTAAAAGTAATAAATAAGTAATTAAGTTAATAAAGAAATGTAAATACTAGAATTGAAAGAATTGTTGTTTCAAAAGAAGTGAACTCCAATAACAATCCTTTTTTTTACTAAAAATAATAAAAAGAGAAAAATCAATTCTTCCCAAGTTCTGCAACCCAGCCCTGCTTGTCATATAAATTCAGTCGTCTGCTATTTTCCAACGAAAATTCTCAAATTTCTTTTATTCCTCTCGTCTTTTTGAATGAAAAACAACTATTTAAAGTCTACTATTTAAAAAGACGCAATTAAAAATAGATTTTATCAATACAGATAAGTGTTGGTAATCGTAATTTTAAAATCACGTATAGAGTAATCCCACCCTCTCTTCAACTTTGATGACGTTTTATGAAGTATGAATCAGCTGACAAAAACTGCGGATTAAAAGTTAAACTGAACGACGTTTTAAAGAATTTCTTAATTCTTATAAATATTCAAGACATTCAAGATGTCTTTAAATACTGCACATGCTAATGGGGGAGTGCTTATCCATTCAGGAGAGTGGTATGTATCAAATTTTTCCTAAATCTTCGACTTTTCGTTTGTTATTGTGAAATCTATAGTGCCGAATACTTGTGACGTTTCTATTTTACACATACATGCACTATTTTATCAGCTTAATAAAATATGTCTTGTAAAATTTTACAGGAAAATTAGAAATTGTTAAATTGTTATTGTTGTTTCTTTCTCGAATCTCGAAATTGTGGATAAGAATTTTGCCGGTTTGGTCAAAATAATATATATTTAATTTTGGTTATGGATTTAAGTGTTGGTAATTGACTTATTGTATATATATATATATATATATATATATATATATATATATATATATATATATATATATATATATATATATATATATATATATATATATAAAGTGTAATTAATTAATTTTTAGTTTGTTTTCAGTTCGTTTAAGCAAATTTTATAATAATCAAAGTACTTAGCAAGTATATCGAATATCAATTTTACAAAGTACTATTATTTGGCAATATTTACGTTTATTGCGTCATAATTTGCAAGACTAATTAAGAGAAAGTAAAAATTACCATATAATAAAGTATTAGAATTTGTTTATTTAAAAAAATAGAAAAACAAGAATTTTTATCACACTTGTCATCGAAATATGACAATGATAATTTAGCTATTAATGAAAATGACAAACGAAATTGACATATTAAATTGTTAAAGAACGATAAACGTCTAGTTTCGTCAGACGTTGATAATGTCATCACTAATTACACATTAAACTTCAGAAAATTGTGGTTTTCATTGCGCACAGTTGAATTTTATTTTTACACTGATTTGCTTATTAATTATACTTTCTTAAACAATTTAATAAAAATCTGTAATTTTTTTTTTAATTAATTAATTTTTGTATTTTTCAGCATTTTACTCTTTTGCGATAATGTTTCAATGGAATTTCATGGACAGGAACAACCGGAATTTCTTGGACGAAAACATGGACGACTTTACTTGACAACACATCGAATGATTTTTAATGCCAAAGATCAGAAGGAAAAAATGCAATCGTTCAGTTTTCCATTTATCACATTATCTGAAGTTGAACTTGAGCAGCCAGTTTTTGGATCAAATTACATTAAAGGAAAATGCCGATCACAAGCCAATGGAAATTGGATTGGCGAATGCAAATTTAAACTTTATTTCAAAAGTGGCGGAGCAATTGAATTCGGACAAGCTATGCTGAGAGCTGCTTCAATAGGTTTTTATTTTCTAATTATTATCAATGATAATTATCAATGAATGTCGATAATTATTGATAAATATTAATTTCATTCTTGACACCATTTTATAATTTTTGTCTCAATTTTTATGTTTTCAATTTTTTACTTTTTTGATGTTTTTATTTTTGATTTTTATATTTTATATTTTTGATTTATCAGGTTGAAGTCCACAACGTTTATTAACGAAAAAAATTGTTCACTTAGTAAATTATTAAAAGATAACAGAGCAATATTGTCAAAAAAATATTTAGAAAAAATAAACTAATGTTTATAATCTGATAATAATTGTTATACAATTAAATATTAAATTAAAAATAATATTGGAATAGATTAAACAAATTTTTTTTGTTGATCAACGTTGTGGACTTCAACATCGTTTTGATTTTTATATTTTAAATTTGTTATTTTTCTATTTAATATCTTATATTTTTTTAGCTCAACGTAATGGACCTCAATCTGATGCTCCACCTCCATATGAGGCACCAACTTCAAATTGGTACGCTGCTCCTCCACCAGCTTATCAAGCTGCGCCAACTGGATATTATGGTTGGTCACCACCAACCAACGTTTTTCCAGATGCTCCGCCAGGTAAATTTAGGCAGTAAAAAAAATCTCCAATTTTCGATAATTAATACGGAGCTGTTCTATTACAAATTTTCACAAAATTAATTTTCCTTGTGTACATTTACTACAAATAGATTTTTTTTTGTGTGAATTAAATCTGTCTTTTATACTTTAGAAGCAACGAATGAAATAGATTTTAAATAAACAGTTTGAAAACAAATTTAACAAATAAAAACAATTTTAACAAAAAAATTTAAAAAAAAAAAAAGAAACAAAATGAAATTTAAAAGTATTTCAGATAAGTAAAAGTATAAAGGATTAAATGCATTTTTAACAAAAATATTAATTTATATTTATGTTTCTCACAGCAAACAGCGTTTATATGACAGACATGCCACCACCGTATCCAGGAATAAATGCCCAATATCAAGGCTACGCGAGCGGAGGAAATCCCCAGCAACATGGAGCTTGGGGACAACAACCAGGTTGGACACCGCAACATCAAAATGGACAACCTGCTTGGTCTAATCCAAATTACAATAATCAACAGCCTCCTCAAGCAGGTGTGTACCCAAATAATGGACAAACCAATAATTATCCACAATATCCACCACCGTACACCTCATATCCACAAAATAATCCATATGGACAGCAACCTAATCCGCAATATGGACAATACCACTAAAAAAGAATAATCGAAAAAGTACTATACAAAAATTTACTATTTTCCAAAAAATAGTAAAGCAATTACACAAAGAAACAAAAACAAAACAAAACTTATATACAAAAGTTAAAATTTTTACTATAATCGATATAAATATAAATTTACTATTTTAATTATAATAAATAGTAATAAAATTCTAAACAATCCACTTAAAAATTGTGATTATAAGCTTTAATTGATAAATTATTGAAATTTGTTGCAAAATTGTTCAAAAAATAAACACAAAAATGATTGAATGAACAACGAATTAAGTACATAAAATGAATCGAATATTATTACTTAAGCGCAGTATTTTCTCAGCTTTTCGAGTATTTTATTATTAATCCAATTTTGCTTGACGATATTCTATATACAAGAATTATTGACTCTTCCGCCAATTCTTATTCTTTAATCTGTTATAAGACATAAAATTACTTGATCAATAAAGTATATTCATTTGAAAGCTAGTTTATCGTTATTATCTGCACTTTATATTTATTAAATAAAGAAAATGAGACAATGTACCAAATACATTCGCAAATAGAGAATACTAAATATTTAAATACTGATTTCCCAAGAATAAAATTAATTTTACCTTAATTCAAATAGTAATTAAATTTCGTTTTGAATAAATTATTTAAAATTATTTAAATTAAATTAATAAATATTTTTAATATATTTAAAGTCGGAAAAAATTGTTAATGTGAAAATAGTACATTTTATTCTGGACCAGTTCACCTGGTGAAAATTGTAGAATCTATTTTGAAAATAACTTGCTTTTTATTTGATCAATACTTTGATTAGTTTAATTCTAAATAGTCAATAGAAAAACGGTAGTAATTTTATTTATTTAGAAAATTTGTCTATAATTGTGGCACTGCAAATGAGTACAAAAAAAATAGTATTTTTATTTCATTTTTTTTTTAATTTGATATAAAAATAATGTGCAGACGATCAGCATCACCTGGAAATAGTGCGCAGGTACGTGGCGTATAAAAATAATTTCTTCAGTTAGGAATTCAGACACAATTAAATCCATATCGAATTTATCGATTCGTAAGAAATTTTATAGTCATTTTCCTATTATTTCTATTTTCCTTAATTTTTTCTATTTTCTTTTTTTTTATTTTTCTCTATTTTTCTGTACTTTTTTCTATTTTCCTTCGTTTTTTTCTATTATTTGTTTTCTTCTTCTATTATTTTCTATTTTTATTAATTTATTTCCAAAGCAAAAAAAAAGTATTTAATAATATCACCGTTCTAATATCGATTTAATTATTATCATATTCATTGAATAAAAAAGGCTTACAAGAGAAAAATTGTAAATATTAAAATTCAAAAGCAATAGAAGTTGTGTAGTTGAAAAAAAATCATATTAATGCACAGTTAGGTATTAAATTGCAATTTTTCTGGCATGAATCATTTTCCCACTGTAAACATAATTTTAAAAAAATTTACAAATTAAGAAGTTGTAATGAACATAGAATTATTAAAATTTCGTTTTTCTTTAATCGTATTTTTTGTAATTTTTTCTTTTTAACAGATGCAAAGGCTGCTGAAGCTGCGCAAAGTGCCTATTACGATCCTAATAAACCTCAATGCGCTTATGTACCGCCTCCAGCATATTATGTAAGTAATTATTCAAATAATAATTTATATCGCAATAGTTCATCGTCAGCAATAAGTGACAAAATTTTAATTTTAATTAAAAAATAGTTATTTATAAATTAGATAAAAAATTGCCGAATGTTTAATTTTTTATAAAATTTATTAATTTTTATACAAAAATATATTATAGGCAACAGCGGCAAGAGAATAAAAAAAAAGTCTACAAAAATAATATTTCAAAATAGAAAAATTGAAAAAAATAATAAATGGAATTAAAATGTTTAAAAATGTACAACTAATTGAAAAATTATTAAAAAAATTAAATTTCGTTAAATAAAAATAAATTTCTTTTTTAGGAAAGTCCTCCCAGTTTTCAGCAAGCGTCAGCAAAGAAAGACCAATGAATTTGTAAGCGTTTCGAAAAAAATGGAGAAGAATTACTAAAAAGAAATAAAAAAGAAGAAAGTCGATTTAACTATTTGTTTAAATTCTCGTATTAGATTTTCAAATGGGCTAGATAATAACTTGTTTATTTATTTTTTACGACCACTTCACTTTTTACTAAACATTCCACGATAGTTTTAAAAAAAAAAGATATTTCTCTTTTATTGCAAATTTCGCAACAATTAAATATTAGTTCACAATTTATATTTTACCATTCAAGTTTAAAAACTAAAAAAATGTTTGTGCATTAAAGAATTAAGTTGAAATTACGAATATAAATTTGTTTTAAGTAATTTAGTTCTTGCTCATTTTATACAATTCTACAATTCTAAGTGTTTTAGAGTTAAGTATGTATGTGATATGTTAGCGCATTTCGTTTGGTACTAAATATATGTATAACAATATAATAATTTGTTATTTGCAATTTTTTTCTCCTTTATTCTTTCTTTAATTTCAACACAAGTTTTTCGCGTATAATTTTTACAGTAATTAATAATAATTAATATAGTTAATTATTATTAATTATTATTGCCTATAATAATAATTATATTATAATAATTATAAATTATAATTTTTTACAAATAATATTTCAGTAATAAATATTTTATAATTATAAAAAAAAGTTTTTACTTACTAGAGTTTATTTATTTATTTTTTTTTTTGTATTTTGATATTAGTCGCATAATAACCTTTGATCCTTAAAAATGGAATGACTCATTTCTTTTTTCTTAATCAAAGACGAAAATTGAAATTTCACTCAATAGGAAAGAGTACAAAAAAATAGATAAAAGATTAAATAAATATTTCCATTTTGTTAATTTCAATTAAAGAAAATTGTTCCGATTGGAAAGTGAATTAAAAAAACAATTTTTGTCTTTGATTTAAATACAACCGTTACCCCAACACGCGCACCATGGAACATTTTCACTACTTGTACTTGTTTTTCGTCTTTTATTATTACCAATTTCTTTACTATTCACAGAGTTTGTTGTTTCACCTAAATTTGTCGCATTTCCATCCGAATGATCCTTTTGGGGAATGATTTTACTTCTGGAATTCTCCATATTTCGAGTACTTTTCATAGAAGTTAGTGATGGTCTTTTTTTCGAGTTAAAATAAATTGAAACACGATGAGTTTGTTCCTTTCGTTGTGAATCAATATCCGAAGATGATGATCGACTCTCCTGCTTATTGTCACGATTATTATCAAAATTTGTACCCGAAATTATTGCATTCTGTGATTCGGTTTCCTCGCACGACGATATTGACACTTGATTTTTTAAAGTATCACGTTTTCTTCGATCGACGATGGTTTTTTTCTCCTTTTTTGTACTCTTTTTCCGACTGCGATTTGAATCCTTACCCAGTGATTCGCTTTTTGTTCTTGAATCCTTTTTAATACGAACGTAATCATCGGCAATGTCTTCGTCGAGCGTTTGTGTTTGAGCCGAAACTTTTTGTGGTTGTGAATCGTAGAAAAATTTCATTTCCTCACTGGGATAGTAGAAATTTCTCGGGAGAAATGGAATATTTTTATAGTCCACATCAAGTGGGAGCATTGATGGTATTTGTAGTGTTATTGGAAAGGGACCTTCGAAAGAAGTTGCTTGATAGCCATGATATTCTTTGTCATTCACTAGTTGATGATTTTGATTAAATGCAGTGATTTCTTCATTTTGGAAAAATAGATTATTCAGTGAAGAACTGTTTTTTGATGATACTTTTTGAACGTGATTTGGACTTTTTAGAATTACGTCCAATTGAGATTTGAATGATTTTGAATGATTATTATTACCTTCTGATTTTTTTATTACTCCATTTGGAAAATTCGTATCGTTTCTCAAATTTTCCGAATATTCACTTTTCAAATTTTGACACGATGAGAATTTCGAATTATTCACAGTAAAATTCTGTAGTTTATCCAAAAGTAGTGTGTCTAGACTGATCGATTTACGTTTCTCAGTTCTGAAAATGTTACCATTTGTTTTATTTATCAAATTATTAGAAATAATCTCATTGCCTCCGTTTTCCAACGATTGTTGTGTGAATATTTCATTTCTCGACGAATTTATTCTTGATGATTCGTTTGAAAAGCCAATTCTTCGCGAATCAATTTTTAAGGGTGCAAAAATTTGTTTAGGTCTACTATTAGATCCTCTTTCAATCGGATTAATTTCCATTGTTTTTCCTCGATTTTCAGAGTTTGTGAGTGTTGAAATTTTTTTCGCGAAAAATCGAGGACTTAATTTATCTGGTGAATTTATTTGATGATTTTCAAAGGTGACGGTGAGTTTGGGTGATTTTGAAAGTCTAGAATTATTTGCTTCCGGAAATGGAGAATCCAATTTTACATGAGTCGGGGAAGAATCAAAAACACTGGGGAAAATAAATGGATTGAAAATTGGATTTGAAAAATGATTTTGTTTAGTATTTGGCGAATCTCTATAGTCAGAATTATTTTCATATTTTTGTATCTTTTTTTGTTCTTCTTCTTCGTCGACGATTGATAATCCGTCAAAATCGACAAGAAGATGATCGAGATTGTTATTAATTTTTTCCGAGTCTTTAGATTTCTCGGTCCACCGTTGATCTGAATTTTCTAATTGAACATTTTCGATTCTTCTAGTTTCTCTTTTGTTCTCTTTGAGATCTTGATTTTCAGCATTGACAAAATCTTCATTATTTTCATTATCATTTTCTTCGTTATCGTCGTTTCTGTTATCTTCATCATCATAATTATCATTGTCTTCGTCTTCTTCTTCTTCTTCTTCGTCGCTCTTCTCTTCGGTGCAAATATCCTTATCGTCAATATTATTACAGAGATTTTCGTTGTCATCATTGTCAGCGTCGACGTCGTCAAAAAAATCATCATTAATATCTTCTTCACCTTGTTCCGAGTTACTTAATTGTGAAGCTTCATTACTTTCCGAGCGACTCTGAAAAAATTTCCTCGATAAGTCAATTTTTTTTAAAAATTCAATTTCGAAAATACGAAAAAGTTATTTTTTATTCAGCTTACCTGGGACAATTTTTGATAATTAAAATTGAACAAATATAAATAATTTAATCTGAGATTTAAGAATTCAAAAATTAAGATTTATTTATTTATTTTATTTAACATTAAGATTTTAATTTTTCTTTAATCTTTTAGTGATTGTCTTAGATGAATTGAAATTTTTGTTCCGGTAAGAGAATTTTAGTTTTTCGTGCGATTGATTCTTTTTTAACTTGGAAGTGCAATTAGTAAAAAAATACTTTTAACTAGTAAAGAAAGCAATGCAAGTCTATTTGCATATTGCAAGCTGTTGTAAGTACCTTGGGAGTTTGGGTCCCAGAAATTTAGTTGTTTTCGCAGTTTCCAATCTCTCGCTGGACCAGCGTGACTACCTCTTGGATAGCAATTAATTCGCTGAAAAACATGAAGCTAAGCAATCACAACGACAGGAAAATTATTATAACATCCACATTGACGACGAACGAAACGATTCTTATCGATTCTTATTTTATAATTTCTTTTTTCATCTCTAAAGACAAATAATGAAAAAAAATTTATTAAAAATATTGAAAAGATTCCAGATTTCAAATTATTATACGAATCTTTATCGATAAAATTAATATTAATTAATTGATTAATTAATTTCTTAATTAATTATTTAATTAAAATGAATATTATATAAATTTCAACAAATAAGAATATTTAATTTATTTTCATTTTACAAAAAAAATTTAATTTAAATATATGTTGTGATAATTAAGTATATATATTTAAATTAAATTAGTATTGTTACAAAGGGACATGTTAATGCTAATCGTATTAGTTGTTGCACATATAAAGCTTGTCATTCAATTAAATTAAGATTAATTATTTCCATTTACCTCACATTCATCGCTTCCGTCATGACTCTTTTGCTTCCTTAAGATTTCCTCCAGTTTATCGTATTCATCTCTCAGGCACCATATTTCCCTCCGAAGCTGCTCGTTCTCTTTGCGCAATTTTTTTATATCGTTTTGTCCTGAAAAACAAAAAAAACTTCATTTTTGTTTTTAAAGAACAATTATTTACACATGTGTAAATTATTTTACAATTATTTTCAGATTTCCACTAAGTAATATAAAGTATTTTTACTTATTGTAATAATTTGTAATAAAAACTATATTTTCAAATAAATTTTTTGAAATCGTTTAATTAATTAATTTGGCATTTTTTTTAACTCCTTCATCACTTTTACCTTGCTCGATTGCCGCATTGATATGAATAGTTCGCAGTCTGAGTTCCTCATTTTCGTAAATCATTCCACGTGAAGATTTTCTGTCTAATCTTCTATTTGGTTTGATGCTGATATCTTTTCTCCTTGCCCTCAGCATCCCAGCTCCTGATATATTTACTCCTGTTCCTGCCATCATCTTAATGAAGTACGAGAATCACATTCATGGCGACATTAACAATTTTCCAATTTTTTTCCTCTTCGAATCAATTTTACTTCTTCTTCAATCATTTTACATTTCATAAAATTCTAATGTCTTAATTTTAGTTCGAAAATTAAAAAATTTAGAATATTGTTTCATATTCAATGTAATTTTATTTTAGATTTAGATTTTAAAAAAATAGTTAATTATACCATTTAATAGCTTATAAATTAATTTGATTTGATTTTTCGTTTTGAAAAAATATTTCTTGAGACAATTTTTAATAAATAAATAGAAGCGAATTGAGAATTTAAAACAAAATTTTTAATTACAAACGTTACTTTTCTCGATTTTAGCAAAAATGAAATTAATATCATGAAATAAATTATAAATCGATACTGCAATTAATTAAAATTCGATCAAAGTAATAAAATTAGGTTAAAATTTAAAATTATTTTCAAATCGATATGAGTAATAAGTATTTGCTCATTTTTAGTCTATTAAATTATGAATTATTAATTTATTATTATACTGATAATAAAATAGTATAAAAAATTAATAAATTTGTAAAATTCGTTAATTACTATTCGACTGATAATAAAATAAATTAATAAAACTAAATTACATTGAATTTATATTTTTCAAAGGCAAAATTTCTGAAAATACATTATATTTTTTTTTCGTTTTTTGTATGCATAACACCTACCCTGATTTTTTCTAGCCGTGGACGAAAACTCTTCAACTGATCATAATTGTTTTAAAAAGGATTATCAACATTGCAATCACATTTTTTTTATCGATTTTTTTTCACACTACTGTCACAGTGATTTAATAAATTTGAAATGTAATTTAATTGGCGACAGACAGTCGAAGCTGATCGGCATAACTGCGCGAACGAGAAGACTATAGTCTCACAGCCCGAAACTTGATCATTCCATCTCGCTTTTTACCTCTTCCACTCTTTTTCTTTCAACGTCCCACTTGCTGGTGGTTTCCATACCATCTTATTTCCTCTCCTGAATTTTCTTTCTCTCTCTCATGTGGCAAAGTCGCTATCTTCTCAATCTAAAATTATCCAAGAAACACTCAACGTCGTATGTGAAATACATTTCTTGGCCCTACTATATCTTCGGGTGGTCAATTTTTCATTTTCTTTTTTGTTTTTGTTTTTTTTATTCTTTATATACAATGGGGAGCTCCCTCTTGTCTTTTGAAGCTTTTCACGTATATATTTCAAAGAAGAATATGTATACACATTTATAGAAATGTAATCTTTTTTGTGAAGAGAAAAAAAAAGAAAAAAGATTCTTTGTTCAAACAAGAATCGTAAATTCGTATGAAAATTTTGTTTTCAATCAAACCATAAAATTCGTTCTTGGAACGTTGAAACTGCAAATATGTGGGTTCACTGTTTATTAATGACTCATGACTATTTTCGATACTTCCGATATTCGATTTCTTACCCTATCAATATAGTTTCGATATTCTCCATGTATGACCCAATTAAATGTTTTTTTCCTTTGTGTTAATTTTGCAAATATATATTTACATTTTTTGGAAAATTTATTTTTTTGAAAAAAGGTGTTAAATTTCCATATTTCCTTTTTTGCACAAAGTTGCATTTTTTTTATTTTAATTTGCTTCAATTTGCAAATTTTGAAATACGCAAAAAATCAAGTAAGGATAAATTTTCTAAGTCGTCATAAAGAATTTTTGCGTGTTTATATAGACCATATAGATTTTGCTCCGTTAAATTAAATCTAGGTGCCGTCGAAAAGTGATTCTATTCCCAGGCGTCCGTGGCCGTTTTTTAAATATCTGCACTATAGCATTCACCTAGTTTTCCATGGTAAGCGAACAAAAAAAAGAAATGATTATCGAAAAAAATTTATACCACATTACGTAATCAGCAATCTTCGATGATTTCATTATTTTCTATTTATTTACTTTTTCCACACATTTTCCTTATTTATATTTCTTTTTTGGTTCTATTTATTTTCTATTCGATTTATTTTCCTTGAATTTTTCCATTCCACTAAATTTTATTTTTAACTATTCTTGTCTTTATTTACTTTTTAAATTCTGTTTTCCCTTCTATTTATTTTTCTTTTCTGATGATTTATTTTTCTCAAACTCATTCATCTCGCGAATTTTCTTCTTTTGTCAAACTTTTAATTCGACGATTCAAAATAAATTTCTTTGTGACTAAATTTAAATTACTTAATCACGTCATTTAATATTTCCTCTGATTTGTTTTGACGGTGAGTGATTTTATTTATTGCAAATAACATTTCCATTGTTTCAATCTCTTTGATCACTTTTATTATTGAGATCAATATTGATATTTTAGTTATCATCAGGAGTATCATTATTGCTCTTGCTGTACTAATTAAACGAATTCAAAGAATCTTCCGAAAATATAATATCTATAAAGCAGCGAAATTTTTGCATTAATTACAATATATTTTTTACACTAGAAAAAATGTTTAAACGTATTGAATTTACATGACAATAAAAATGTTAATTTATATGAATTATATGAATTCATCTATTATTAAAGTTTTATTTTAATCTATTATTGCAATTTTCGTTATAAAAAATCGAGATAAATATTAAACTTTAATAAAGATTTATTTTTAGATTAAACAATGGTGGATGAGATTATAAAATGTAAAATTATAAAAATACACAAACCTGCCTTTACATCTTCATAAAGCCAAGACATTTGTTTTAGACCCAATTCCATTCAAGACGTTTGTCATCATGTGTGACGCGAAATAAACTAAATGCAAAGTTGTCGAGAACTTTGGAGAAACTATTGTCACACACTGAAAAAGAGAACTGTAATGACGAGGACAACTTGGATTGTTCAATTTCATGAAACTCTGGCCAAAAATGAAACGTCTCCAAGTTTCCCGGACTTTAAATAGCGGCGGGAAAGTTATTTCTATATGTTTACAATTTTTCTTTGAAAATTCCATTCTTGTTCAGCTCCAGTTGAGAAGCACTTCTCAGGTATATATCTGCAAATTGAAATTATTTCAAGTTGTAATACTTTGGAAATTTAAATTTTCTTTGAAAGATTTATTTTCAAGTTATTTATTGATTTATTTTCAAGTTTTTCGTAGAACAAAATCAGTTTTTCGTATGAAAATTTAAGAAATAATAATTAAAATCTTGCTTCTTCTATGGGGGAAAAAATACACTGAAAAATTATAATAAAAAAAAATAAATACTTTGCTATTAAATTACTAAAATATTTTACTGCTACTATTTAGATTTAATCCAGTTTTTAAATAATAGAAAAATCATAAATTTCAAAAAAAACCCTTTGTTTTTAGAAACTGCAAAAAAAAATCCTCTTGGGAAATTACGAGAAAGATTTTTTCTTTCTCAAAATAAACAAAGTCAATAAATTACTACTTTGAATTAAGTACATGGGTTAGATTTTACGAAAAGTTAATTTTAGAAAGTTGAAAATCATAAAATGGAAGGGTAAAAATTAAATATTTTTGATAGTTTGTTTACAAATTTCTTTTTAGGTTATGAACGGAACATTGTTAACTTTTCGTTTTCAATCAACTTGTGTTCTATCTATCAGGTTTGTATAATAACTTACTTGTCGATCATTGTTGAATCCTTCGTTTAACATATTAACAGAACACTTTTCTTTTGTTAAAAAACTTTAAAAACATTATTGAAATGTAAATAACAGGAGAACCATCATCAATGTCAAAAATGTCAACAAAGTTTAAAATTTCACAGACCGGAAAATAGTTATGCGCACGCGTTGCGTATGATTTGTGATTGGCTGCTGTGCGCGCAATATTTAAAGTACTAATACGACCAAATAACTCAATTAATACACAAAATATCTTCTCCCACTTTTTATAATGATAATTAATAACTAATTTCTCTTTGTATTTCAATATATTAATAATTCAATATATAAAGTTCTTATTACGAAACGGTTTTCTAATTTTTGTAAAGTAGAACAAGTAGAACGCGTTTTCCGATAAGTTGGTAGCACTGTGCGACAGGAAACATGTCTCAGCGCTGCATTCACAGCGGTGACTCCAGTAACTATCAAAGTCGTTTGATAAGTGTTTCAAAATTTGTCTGTTGGAGGGAAAATCCATTAATTTTTTAATTACATCCTTCGAATAATTAACTATTTCATTAAAAAAATGAATATTTCAAGTGAGTTGAACTGTTTGGAAAAAGATTTCACTGAAGCAACGGAAAAAAAGGAAATTTTTTCCACATTGAAAAAAGTGCGAAAAAAACTAACCTCAAAAAAAGTCAACTGCCATTTCGATAAATTACGCAGAAGGTACAGAAGTATACAGGAGTAAAAATAGAAGAAAATGAATTTGATAGAGGTAAGAATTGCGACTGGTTCGAATTTCAATTAATATTAGTTCTTTGAAAATTTACAGGATTCATAAGATCTGGAAAATTGTACAATGCAACTTTTCTTAAAGTGTACAATAGGTACACTTGTGTATGTTTGAAAATCATTCATCAGGGGAGGTAAATAATTTTTTTGAAAATAATAAACACTTTGGTAAATTAAAAGAAGTTGAAGTTAAAGAATTTCCTGCCTACATTTCTTTATTTTTATACTTTTTTTGTTTATATATTTTTTTTTTGTTTATATAGATCTCGAAGGATTTTTTATCTCCGATTTCTTAAGTTGGTGGCTTGCGCACGCAGTCCAATACCCCCCTGGACGCCCCCACCTCAGATGCACCAGACCACACCATGAAGCCGGTCAATACTCCGTGAGTCCGTGAGCAGAGCAGCTCTCTGCTGCAGCTTTATACATATCTCGTGTTTTTCCCTGCGAATCCCAAGAAGACAAGTCTCTCAAATGTATCGTGCACTTGCATCAGTGATTGAATCAAACGACTGAGAAAAATCAATTTCATTCATTCGAGAAATACGTGAAATTCACCTCAAGTTTGGAACGATTGTCATTGTGCACAAATTATGAGATTATAATTTTCCTGGCAAGTGGAAAAAAAATATGTGAAGGAAAACGAGGAAGCGCGACCGTCGTCGGAGGTCACGGCGTGACACGTTTTAACTTGGGAGGGCGCGTGTTTTTCTTCAGACGGCGCCGTCGTCCTGCGTTCCTGCGTGCGGTAGATAACAGGCCTTTTATTAAGTATTTAATATGTGCATCGCGTGATGGACCACAGCCTCACGACCGGCAGACTCATGGATACGTCGTGGATATTCTTTTTCTTCTTTGCCATCGCCGGTGAGTTTTTGCAAATTAGTATTTTACTTTTCCCTTAATTATTAATTTTTTACTGATTAAATTCGATTTTTGAATTTAATGGTATTGAATGTTTTATGACCTTTTGTTTGTTCTCATTTTAACATTTCGATTTTATACATTTCATACATTTTATACAGTTTATACAATTTATACATTTCATACATTTGATGTTTAACAATCGTGTCCTGTAATGGAGACGATGTTTCCTCGCATTCTACCCCCTTGTTTATTCACGTTTTATTATTCAAGACAAGGATGTCGCCAATGTCCGACAATCCGGTTTTTTTTCGTTTTTCAATGTCAGAAGATTTTATTTCCAAACGTGAGTTGCTTTCGGATAAATAATTCAATCCTTTTATGATTGCTGCTCCCGATTAGAAAACATTTTCTGCGAAAGTAATTTCAAAATTTCGAAAATTTAATTACTTTTATTATAAAAACACTAGGAATCACTTTTCGTGATTCTCTTTTTGTTTTGATAATTTTTATACTGAGAAACTTCAGTGGAAAACGCTTCTTTTGGCCCACTCGGTTCTATTTTTTTTGCAGTTAATTTTAGAAATTGTTTTTTACATCATTTTTGAATACCAGAATTGAAAAAAACCCTTAGGGGTGTTTTTATCCTCTTTTTTAGGTGTTTACGAGAAATATATGAAATGAACGTATTCGGAACTTTTGGAAAATTTCATTTTCAATTGTTGGAGAAAATTTTCGATTTGTTGACACTTATCAACTGGTTGCAAACTAAAAGTTTCAACTTCATCCAAAGACGATTGTCTCATTGAATTGACTTCAACTGAGACGTTTTCTCAATTGATATTCATGAATATAAATTGCAATTAAACTTGAAAAACAACTTCTCTTCAATGTTTATATTCAAGATTCTTCCCACTCTCCTCAAGATTATATAAATCATTCTTATTAGTAAATATAGAACTTTTTGTTGAAAAAATTATTTAAATTGATCGTGAAAAATTGAAATTCTTTATATATTATTCCTTGACACAATTGGAATTAATTCCTTCGTCAATAAAAAGCCTTCATAAGTATTTGATCCAAATAAGTTTGAAAAACAAGTATTTGATCCAAGTATTTGAATCAATTACTTGATTCAAAAGGCATTGTATGAAGTAAAACAATTTCATAAAACGAAAACAAAACAAAAACTTGGATTAAAAAATGAATACATTACAAATTGTGTTTGGAGAAAGGAAAAAGTTGTAAATCAGAGAGAAAAAGAGACAAAGCTCTCTCTTAATCTATAATTGATCAGAGAGTGAGTTTTGAAATAGCCCTAGAGAGTGCATGAATATTAGAACTTGCTTTTTTTTCTCCCCCTTATCGAACTTACCCTCTCCCCCTTTTCCACTTCATAGATCAAGAGCCCTATTCTCGAATCATTCATTCATGAAACGTACATTTTTCTTTGTTCAGTTTCTTTTTCTGTTTAACCGTATATGAAAATCAGCAAAACAAACATCTGCCTTTAAACTGAATCATTTATTATTTATCTTTTTTGAACCGCAACCGCAAATAAAAGACTATTGATCCAATTTTTGTTGCAGGATTTTGTCATCTTTTTTTAATGAACTTGAAGTCTAGACTTTTTTTATAGGGAAACTGAGAAAGAAAGTTCTTTTTGTTTAAAGAAATCAAAATTATTTTTTCACAATGAGAAAAAAGGAATATTCTCAAGATTGCCACATGTCAGGGAATTCAGGGAAAAGTCAGGAATTTTTATTAAAAGTACTGAAAAATATTAAATTTTTTAGAATTCATAAGAAAATTCTGAATTTTTAGTGTCTTTTTTGTTTGCAAAATTCAATTATTTTCATGAATAAAACAATATTCTTCACAAGAATTCAATTATTTTCAAAAGTAATAAAATTTTTGGAAGAAATTCAATTATTAACTAATTAACTAATAATAACTAGTTAATTAACTAATATCTAGTCAAAAATTCAATTATTTTTATAAATAGCAAAATTTTTCACCAAAAATTCAATTCTTTGCAAAATTTCAATTATTTTCTAAAGTTTTTCGCAATTGAATAATTTTCAATTTTTACTATTTGCATAAAATTTATCAAAAATTGTAATTATTGAAAACAGTTTTTGATACAATTCTCTGAAAGCATTACACTATTTTCATAAATAATAATTCAATTTTAAGAAACATTCAATTATTCAATAAAATAATAAAATTCGTTGCAATAATTCAATTATTTTTATTTTTTATAAATAACTTTTAATTCGTCGCGCAGAAAATCAATTATTTTGAAAAATTTTCAAGAAATTCTGCAAAAGAATTCAATTGTCTTGATAAAAAACAAAATTCTCCCCATACAATCAATTATTTTAAGGAATTTTAATTAAATTCTTTTTTAAATTCAATTATTTTGATATAAATATCAAAATTCATCACAAGAATTCAATTCTTTTGAAAAGTAATAAAATAAAATTCTTGGCAAAATTTCAATTATTTAAACAAAATTTAATAAAATTTTTACTAAATTCCTTAAAAGAAATTAATTATTTTTAAAAGTTGTTAATAAAATTCTTCTTAAAAATTAAATTTGAAGAAATATTCAATTATTGAATAAATTATTTATTTTGTCAAGATTTTCAATTATCTTTATAAATAGCAAAATTCTTCACGAAAATTCAATTATTTTCAAACACTTCTTTTAAACTCTCTCATCCAAATTTTCAATTATTTTAATAAATAGCAAAAATCTTTTTCGAAATTCAAAATATTTTCCAATAATTTTTATAAACTTCTTGACAAAGTAACAATTATTTTCAAAAATAATAAAATTTTTCGTAGAAATTCAATTATTTTCAAAAATAATAAAATTCTTCGTAGAAATTCAATTATTTTCATAAATAATAAAAATTTCACAGGAAATAATTCAATTATATAGAATTTTAATTATTTGTAAAACAATAAAATTTTAATTAAATACTTCGAAAAATACAATTATTTAAAAATTTGTCGATAAAATCCTTCTTAAAAATTGAATTTTAAGAAACATTCAATTATTGAATAAATTATTTATTCTTGTATTTAAATAATTAAATTCTCGTAGAATTTTCTAATAACAATTGATTTAAAAATGGATTTCAGTTAAAATTTTAGATAATAATTTAATATTAAAGGCATTATAGCATGAATTTTTAGAAATAATTGAATTTGAAAAAGGTTTCAAATTCAAAACTTTGGAAATCAAAATTTTTCGTACTTTTAACTAATAATTGATTTAAAGAAGAATTTTGGCTAAAATTTCTTGAAAATAATAATTGAATTTAAATGATGAAAATAATTTTGAAGAAGTACAATATTCTTATAATATAAAATAATAATATTTTATCACTGGGTTATCTTTAATTATTATAAAAATATGAAGAAATTGATCACTCCGAGTCGAAGACTCGGAGTTATCGATATCTTCATGTTTTTATAATAATATATTCGTATAAATTGTTTAATTTAAAAAAAAGTTTGAATTTGAATGATTTGAAAATGTTAATTCCTATGGAATTAATAAAATTAATTTATAAAATTTATTAAATATATAAAATTTATAAAAATAATAATAAATATTTATGTAAAAATAAAGTTATTGATGCGTTTTCGAATAATTTTACTTTTGAAGAAATTTGTAAATAAATATAATAGAAAATATTTTTCAGTATCAAATCACTTTTAGAGTGAATCAGAATATTCTTTAGTGTCAGGGGAAAATTCGAAATTCTGTCTGAAAATCAGGGAAAAACAAAGTTAAATTTTTGTGGCAACCCTAATTCTATTTCTACTTTGTGGAACATTTTTGGGATGTGGATCTTCTGGTCAAATGTTAGCAAATCGAGTAAAAGTAAATATGTTGTAGAGAGAATTCACTGCTGCTAATGAACAAAACACGTAAACGTGGTCGATAAGTAAATATTTTTCAACCAAATAAAACGATGAGAGAGAGAGAGAGTAGATATTTAACCGCAATTCTAGAGTTTGGTTTATATATAGTATGTACATCGTTTTTGTACATCAGGACTTTAATAGGGTAATGAATTTTCTAAATAAATTTTCAATGAGCTGAATGTTTCTTTTTTCAGCTTTAAAACCTTTTTTTTTTTGACAAAATAAAATAAATTACAGTGTATTTTAAATTATCCGTAAATTACGAAATGAATGCGGCGGCAGCAGCAGCAGCATCGAAAAGCGCATTAGATAATTAGAATTTTCAATTTAAATCTCCAGGGTTCTTTTTCTCTCCCTGTTCGTTTATAATTCTGGATAAAAATTAATTCCCTTCCAAGCGCTTTTTTTCACCTGCTAATTTATTGTCGTATTTTTGTTAATTAACATATTAAATTAGCTTTATAATTCCATGAAATTATCTCACTTTTAATGAAAATTAATTTTCGTTTTAATTAATTCTTTGCGTAAAAGTTAAATTAGAATACAACAAAATGAATTTAATGCTTTACTTTACATTTCGATTTCTATTATTATTTCTATTTTTATTATTATTTTTTATTATTATTATTAATTATTATGTTTCTTATTCAGTTAATTTTGTTAATTTCATTTAATGTTTTTATTATTTTATCATTATTCTATTTATTATTTTTAGTATACAAAATTTAATTATTTCGAATTTACGGATAATTTAATTAATTTTCGTAATGAGTGTTAAGTTTTAATATTCTTGTGCCATTAGTTTTAGATTGTTCAACACTTTTGAGGGATAAAGAATAGACAGAATGTTCCCGATAAGACATCGAATCTTAAGGAATCAACCCTCGAGAAAACGTTTCCACGTTTTTGCCTCATTTCCTCTTAAGCTTTGTGGCTCTCTGAATTTTACGAGAGAATAGCTACTGAATGGCCACGTTTTTCACGCAAAAGACTTTTATGCGAGTGCTTAGCATATGTGCACGTAAAGTAACACTTTGAAAGCTTTGGCTCTGTCATCGAAA